CCCACCTGCTGGAGGCCCTCAGCCCCGCCTTCTGCTCCCTCTCTTCCTAGGCTCCTCCCACCAGCTGGAGGCCCTTAGCCCCGCCTTCTAACCCTTCTCCTCCCACTCACTGGCTCTTTCGTTCTTTGAGGTGCAGAGAAGCCTCCTCGGGCCACCTTAATCAAGAGCCAACTGCAGCAGGGGGACAACCTCAGAAACGTTCCCCGCTTCGATGCTCCCATTTACTTGGCAGTCAGTTTGCCTACGACTGCACTCAGCTCCGTAAGGGCAGGAGCCTGCTCTCGGCACACAGCCTGCCGTCACCCCACCCTCTCCATTCCGCTGGCCTGCAAAGCCAGCAGGCCGGACCTTGCATGCGGATGCGGACTGCCTTCCCTCCTCCACGATGCCCACCTGGCTCTGAGCATCAGCTGGCCCCCACTGCCAACGTCACCCTACAGTTTATTCTTCCCCACTCAGCAGTCAGAGGGATCCCGTCAACACACAGCCAGGCCCGGTCACTCCCGGCTCAAACGCCCCTGAGGCGCCTGGCCTTTGGGAGGAAACCCAGAGCTCCTGCGTGGTCTGTAAAATCCTCTGGTTATGGACTGTCCTCTAAGTACACACCTCTCTGCCCGCACCTCCCACCTCTACCTGCTTTACTCCTGCCTTTGTACTGGCTGTCCCTCTGTTGGAGACAACTGCCCTGGCTTTGCCTCCAGGTATCTGGAGCCTCCCCGGCAGAGGGTGGCTGGTTCTGGTGCTTCTATCCCAGGTCCATTATCAGGAGTGAGTCCTGGGGATCTACCCCCGCCCCGGCTCCTTTCAATGAACCTGGCTCACCCACAGTCCTCCTGAGAGTTCTTAGTTCTCAAGTTATAAATCTCAGAGGAGATGAAGTGAGAGAAGGTACAAATTTATAGGCGTGGGGACTATTAGAGCCTCTATCCTAGCTCCCCCTAGCTGTGTGACCTTGGGAGAACACCTTAACCTCTCTGTGCCGCTCATGTGGTAAACAATACTGGCACCTAAAGACGTCCACATCCTAATCCCCCGAATGTGGCATATGTTACCCACATGGCAAAAGACCCCGCAGATGTGATTAGGGGAAGGATCTGGAGCTACAGAGATTATCCTGGATTCTCCGGGCGGCCCTGCTGTCCCCACAAAGGTCCTCACCAGAGAGAAGTAGAAAGGTCAAAGGCAGAGGAAGGAGATGGGAGATGGAGCAGAGGCTGGAGGCCGCACTCTGGAGATGGAGGAAGGGCCACAAGCTGAGGGACACGGGGTCCTC